GATGACAAATTTCAGCACCTCAACCCATACATGAAGCTGAATCATAGCTTCTGCTGCTTTGTTGCATTGAAATCATTGACATTCTGTCCATGTGGATGTTAGCATACACCTACATGTGTGGTCTGAATAAAGAAGAAGACACAAGTCTACAGGGCAGTGAACACAAGATGCATGAGGCATGCCATCTGTTCCAGAGGTAACAGAGTCACTGTCTCCCCCAAACATCTGGCATTAATTGAGTATTGCTCTATTTGACATGTTGGCACTTGCCATGAAACACCAAATTCAGATTGCTGTAACAACATACACCTTCAACAAACGCAAACCTTCTGGATGTTTGACAAATACTCCTGTTTGCATATATCAGACATTGTAGATAACAACTTAGATTTTGTGCTGTTACCTTCAATATGCACTCTTCAGCTATTACTGACCAGCCTGCAGGAATGTTGTGCAAATGTTGTGCATGGCATGTGTTCAAATTAAGGTCTTTTGAGATGTTAAAAATGTTTCCCATTTACACTCAGCCATGAGAAAGCAGCTGAAACAGAATGAGGAAGTGTCCGTTCTGTTTGCAATCAAGCGTAGACATGGCGTCACCTCTGTACGCACGAACGGGCTGCTTCTTTGCCAACTTTGTCAATGCTAAACAAACGTCACCAAACTCATTGCTGGAACCTGGGCTTTAGTCTGACCTAAAGATGGGGGGAGGGTGTTCGCTGAGTTAGTTTCTTGTACTTCATAAAACAAAAAGACCAAAGTATGCCGACAAAGGAAAAAGAAAAATAAGTTAAAAATTTCTGCCTGAATAGTTTTCATTTCCTTTTGTGAATTTCATTACGGGTTGCTGCACGCCATCATACAAACCTCACAACTAGGAGTTCAAAGAAACAATATTAGGACGTTTTAATGTTCATGGTAATGGATTATACTTTATAGGGGATTTGCAAGGGTCCTCAAACTGTTTACCAAAGAGCTGACAATAAGTAAGTGTGTGCAGCTTCTCCTGAAGGAATCAGGTTCAGATCCTCGAGCATATTATATTAAGCATAGATGAGAGGCAATTCAGACAGCCGTCATTCAATAAAGACACAAAGGAGTGGATCTAATAAAGAAAATTATTTACCACATGACACCACTAATTGTTGCCATAACTATCACCTGCTCAGATTTCCTAATATATGACAAGTTGAAGTTTTATCTGTACGCCGTATGTTTGCAAGTTAAAGAATCGCTTCTCGTTTTGCCTTGCTTCCCTTCGTAAACAGCTCAATCTATATTTAGAGAGGTAAAATGGAGGTAAACTCGATGTATCTGATTCATATTGAGGGATTTTAAAACCTCTTAAAAACACACACTAAACAGGGTCTGTATTAAATTTGACGTTTTAGTTGAAAATCGGTGACATATTAAATGTGAATTCTACATTTAGATCCTAACGGTAATGGGATTAAAAAAAGGTTACATTTCTGATGCTTTGACAAAGAATGAAGTGAGACACAATAACACATCCCTCATTAATTTTGTGTCCTCACTGCCATGGCTCACAAAGATAGGAAATCAATGTGGCTGTGCCTAAAGCTAGATCTGAGAGCTGTCCATCTCCCCTGTTTATACACTGTTTTAACAACCCTTCATGCTGAGAGATTATAAAAAGAAGATGTCATGGGCCAAATTACATCTGCAGGACAAAACAGTAAAGTTTATCATAAGCATGTCTTGTTTAAGAAACTGAAATCCCTCATTTCCACAACAGAACTGACAGCTGAGGTGATTCAGATCACGTTAGGTTGTCGGTTTTTCATTTAGGAAAAAAATAAGACAAACAACCAAAGACAACCCACTGAGAAGAGGGAAAATAATAGTTTGGAGGAAAACATTTTTTCTCTAATCCTCTCTGCATAGGTCTTTTTCCATTTCTGCACATTGTAATGTTGATTTGAATTAGAGATGCACACCGCAAATATGTGCTTTACGAAGAGATTCCCATGGAACTGATTAGCTCTTTAAATATTCACTGCAAAGCCTCAAAACCTATCTCTCCATTCTTAAGTACTAAAAGTCCCAACAGTAATGTAAATATATTGTTTCAGTTATTCTCAAAGCAAACTTGTTAGAGAATGAAAATTACAATTGCTGAGGCGTAATACAGACTTTTTACAGTTACAGTTTTTCCAATTTGACTTCTCAGCAAAAAATAAAGACTCGACAAAACAAGGGGTCATAAATTGCTTTAAGTCATCTTGCCAGTATTGGATGTTCTGTGATCTAATACGTAGGAGTACTATACATTGCAGTAAAAATATTCTCAGGGGCTGAAAAGGCCTTTCTAAGTTCTTCAGCCTGTCTTTGGAACACAGCTGGATCATCCTTTTGGACCTGTGGGTTGCTTCACAGACACAGACGCGCATAAAGGAAAGCACACACATTGTGCCTGACTGATCCAACGTGGTGAGCCTCTGCTATCTGCTTCTCACCAGGTTTGTTTGCATGGATCATCGTAAACTCCATTTATTACTGTAGTTTCTGAGATGTAATAAAGAGGTGAGCAGTCAACCAGAGCTAAATATAATTCCTGATTTAAGATTCAAGCTTCTTTATTTGCCATTTGTGCCCAGACATGCTTAGTCTGGGTACACATACATTAATTCGCCAAACTTCAAGTCAAAAAGAATAATTCTAATAAGTAAAGGGTAAGGCTAAGATACACTGAACACTGAAATAGGAAAGCAGCAACAAATGTTGACAATAATAAAAGTCCTGTCCTTTTAAAAACTTTTTAAAGATATTTTTTTGCTATATGATTTCCTCTCATCCATACAATGAACAGATGGAAGTAAAAGTTGATTCAACTATTTTGAATCAATAACTGTCTGTTTCAACACAGTGAGCAGCTCTGAAAATCAAGAACAGCAGTTCTGGTTGTTGACAGTGAGCTGGAACTGGACCCACTATTCCTCAAGAGGCTTTGGTAAAAAAAACAAAAAAAAAACTTTTGCAGTTTCTTTTCTTTTTTAAGCATGCATCAATATTATGGACTTCAGGGGGGGACCGTGGTTAGTATTGCATCAAGTTCCCTGTTTGAGAAAACAAATGCATAGACATCAATATATGTATGCCTATATGATATGCATCTTTATCACCATCAGTGAATTGTCTGTTTACATTCCACATCCACACAGTGACTGTGACTATATGTGAACTGTTCCTGTTAATGCATGTGTCCTGGAAATTGTCCTGGAATTGGGGATGTGCTGTCAACACAAATGTGGACAAAGAGCAAGAATGTTATGAAGCACAAACTGCCTCCTTCCTAACCCTGCCTCTTCATAGAGTTTATCTTGTATTGCTATTCATCGTCAAGACAAATATTTAAGACTGCAAGAACATACCAATTAGCTTTAATAATTTTCTTCTGCCTCAACAATTTTTTTTCATTTACTGCTCACTTTTTACTTGTTCTCCTTAACAAAAGTTCGAATCATCTAAGGCAAACTGAATAGCCAGTGTTAGGCTTCGGGGTGATAAATGATGGATGTAATATATGGTGGTGATTATGGTAAAACCCTGCATCACAAATATCAGCAAATATACTTTAGATATAACAAAACAGAAACAACAGGCAGTGTCACAATAACATATATTGGAGAAAAATACTACAATGGGAGAGATAATCTATATTGAATATATGGGATAAACACAATGTCCTCACGGGGAAAAAAAGGTAATGACGTTTCTCTTGCATAATAAACATTAAGTCACTCTATCACTGCTAAGCCCCCGCCGTGTAACCGGACTGCTCAACGTACTTCCCTGTACAAACACTTCTCCCTCCCTTTCGGCAACGCTTCTCCCGAGCTCTCAGCATCTCTCCAGCATCGAGTAGCTGGGAGACCACCTCGACGCGCAACAGAAGGCTCACAACACTGGACCGTACAGCGCACAGGACAACTTTCATCCCCTGCAGAGCAAAAGACCCTGCCACTGGGCAAAAGTGCGTCTGTAAAAGGAGTTGGGATTTTAAGATACTGAAAGATATCAGCTTTAAAAAAAAGTGAAAAATCTCTGCGCAAATGATTTCCAAATGCATTGCAGGATAGCCTTCTCTTAGCGCGTAAACATCCCACTGTAGGTAGTTGCTCCGACGCATACAGTAAAATTCAGAGGACGAGATGGATCTGTGGGGAGTTTATTTGCTTCATCTAATAATTTCGGGTAAGTGACAACTTTTTTTTCATTCCTTATTGTTCTTTTTTTATTGTGAAATTTGTCCGGAGGTATCAGTCTTTAGTTGGGAAAATAAGACAGAACAACCTGCTCCCTCCGGTTGTGGCTGAAAATCTGTGATAACAGAAGTCAGGATGTTGATCGTTCGTCCTATGAAGCTGAGAAGCTGACCACGACTGCTGCCTTTTTGTGTATAAATTATTTGAGAACAATTTGAGAGTATCTTGAGAACATTGATCACTGGTCCAAAACCCTAACCCAGCTGGTTCTGCGCCACTAGATGGGGAGCTAAGCATACAGATTATATATATATATATATATATATATGTGTGTGTATATATATATATATGTGTGTGTGTGTATATATATATATATATTCAAAGTCAAAGTTGTACAGGACAGTTGCTCCGAAAGTAAGTTGGAGGCACTGAGGCACTTGTTCTCTGTGTAATTGAATGAAGCTGGATCATTGATTTTTGTGACAACAATGCACAGTCTGGAGAGAGGAAAGGCGCCTGTTATTGCCTCTGCTTGTCTTTTTGTTGTTACTTACGAATGTGTCAATCTCAGTTCTGCTGTCAAGACGCCATCTAACATTATCATAAGCACTGATGGCCACAACAGCAGAACGGATCATTGTCTTTTTTTATTATTATTTTTTATCTTACACCGGCTTTCCTACTTAACAAAGGTAGCAAAAGGAATTGCAGCACATCTTACCCTGTTATGCATTATTAATATGCCATCTTCTCTGTGAGTCATTCATTAAAGAAATGGAGGAAGGAGATGCCAGTAAGACATGGTGAATGGAAACATACAATATGCATTGATCTCCTTTTTTCCTTGAATGATAAGGACTGATAGAAAACTGACATATATATTAAACATCAGTATTTCTCTGCTCGAAATAGTGGCTGGCAGAGGTGGGCATTGTTGTCTTTATATATATATATATATATATATATATATATATATATATATATATCCCACAAATAATTTCCTATAGCACCACTAACATAAAGTTATTGCTTCGTGTATGATGTTACAAGTTTTCTCGCATCATTGTGGAGGGATTTTTGTCCATTCTTTGGTGGAAAGTTGTCTAACTTCAGTTATCCTGTGAGCATTTTTATACCCACAGCTCTCTGAAAGACAGATTGTTGACTGAACCATTGCAAATCTTTTCAGAATGTTCTGTTGTGCTGTTATCAGCCAAGTTCCAATAGTTAGATCCTCATCTTAACAGTTATTAAAACAAAAAAAAGACTACACAGAGGACTGCAAAACAAGTCATGACCCATCACCCCTCCACATCATCACTGTTAATATCAGGTGTTTGTATTGACATATTGGCTTCGGGTTTTCACAAGTTTGTGCATGTTATTTTGTGAAAAGGGGATTTCTTGTATCCATGACAAACAAAGCACTTAATCAGTGTTTATCTGTCACACTTTTATCAACTTCATGTTTTAAAACGGGATATGAATATGGTTAAGGCTGGGATTTAGCTGCAGTTATTTTTGGGATTAAAAAAAAGAAATTACTTTGTCTGACCTTGCGAGCTTTTCTTTTTTCACTTGTGAATAAGATAAATTGCACTTTACAATGAAGAAATCTAGAAATGGCCTTATAATTATTCCCATATTGAATGGCAATAGTCATTTACTGTGTAAGATCTTTGCAGAAGTCTCTCCTCTTTTGCATTGTGTTCACACAAACCTGAAAACTTCACCCCACCAAACTGCCAAACCCTCTCCTTTCACAGATGTGTTTTTTCTAACTGATATTCAGTTAATTGAGTGCCTTTGATTAGCAACTCCTGGCTTCCACTTACCCTCATAAAACCCTTATAATTAGGTGTAATCAGTTTTAAAAACACCACTAATTTGACTTGGTTTTTTGCTAATTAAATGACACAGTGTATGATTTATTGTTCATGTATTTACTAGATTTTTAGTACTTATTCAGCTACAAAAAGTTATATTCTCGAACCTTGCTTTTTTAAGTTCATGACGTTTCTAATATTCCAAATATAACCATGACCTTTTAAAATACATAGACCCAATTAATTGCTCAAAACGACAAACATTGGTCTATAAGTTCATCAGAAATATTTTGGCAACCCTCAAATACTTCACATTCAACTCATACGTAGGGAATTCGATTGGTGAATTCATCTAAATTTATGCTCCATCTGCTCCATCAAATCGTCTAGTCTCTGCATGTTTCTTTCTTTAGTCTGTCAATTTCCTGCATTCCTGCAGTGATCTGTATGCTAGTCTGAGCTGTGACGTGAACCTTGAGCAGAGATGATACTTATTTCAGACCCAAGCGAGACATCAACCAGGAAAAAGGTCAGTTATGTACATAAAGGAGAGGGAAAGATAAAAAAATAAAAAAAAATTCCTGGGAGGGAAGTTGTTGCCTGTTCATGCTTTGATATTATCTGCATGATGAATGTACATTTGAGTTCACTTTTACAGATACACAGTAAAGCTTTAAATCATATAGAATTAAGTGCAATTCGATGATCAAATGTTGATAAAAGATAAGCATTTATCTTTATCATTAAACTGACAAAAGATATACTACCATCAGGCCACACATATTTCAAACCCCAGAGGTAAACCCAGGTAACTGTATTTTGTATTCATTGGCCAAAGAGAAAAAGTAAAATATGTTTTGAAGTAGGGCACAACTAGTATGGATAAAAGTCATCTAGAAGCTGTCAAAGATGTTTAAATTCATCATTACTCTCAAAGAAAAACTGTGTCGGCAACATAACATGTCAGCCTGTCATAGCTTCTTAGTTTGTTTTCAGGTTTTTAAGGGTAGAAGATGTATTATTTGGAACTTCCTGTCTTCAACAAATTAGATTTTTTACTGCATTCAGATTCAACTAGCATCATGCTATACTCTGTCATGTAATGTTTTTGACATAGCCAGAAAATTGCTCGTATCTCTATTGGAAATAGATAACTACAGCAACCTTGCTATTTCCTGGCATAATGGCTATAGACTCTTTGTTGGGAAGCAGATAGTGACAGGACAACCAATCACATGCTGGCTTGTCTCACTGCAGGATTGATGAAAGGAAGAGCTCTTTTATCCAGTAAAAGTTACATTGAATCATGGATCTCCAGTAGACATTAATCAGCCTAACTTAAGTGTAAGTATATAATCTAATAAGACATGTACGCCATTCAAACATTGAAACCTTATTTATGAAGAAAAGCATTTTAAACTTCAAGTCAACCGTTGAGCATTGTCCTATGTAACTGTCAAAGTTAAGTTTACTTCATTTTACTGAAAGAAAAAAAGGTAATGTGATTATTAGCAACATGTAGTTTCAAATGCTTAAAGAAGATACAGTTTGAATACTTTTGTTTGCAGATGAGAGGAGCAAAACTTATCTGTGAGGACAAACGATCATGGCACTGGGGTTATAAGTTGTGTACTGTGAGGTGAGATGTATGACTTGGTGGGGGATGTAGAAGTCTGTTGTCAGTGTCATGTAGGCGTCCGTAACCAGGTCAGATCACCACAAAGGCTGAACGCAGAACCTACACGGGTGCAGTGTCTGTTCAGAGTTTATGATTACATCTTATGTAGAAAGCCTAATCTTATTACTGATTATTATCCTGATATTCCAGACAGTAAAATGTCCTCCTGGAGGACTAATCAATGCTGACGACTGACATTATGACCAAACTGAAAGTGCTTTAAGGCTGATGAATAAAAGTCAAACTGTCAAATAACAGAGAGAAAATCTATTATTCAACCATCATTTTAAAAGCTGGTCAGTGAATTAAAAGTTTTCAGCAAATGCATTTATCTAGGAGAGAGTTATTTGTACAGCGATTTTGTATAGCTGAAAAAAACATCCGACATCTATTAACCTGCTATTTTGTGCAGTTAACAATTTATTGATACCCAAACTACAAGAGTATGTAGTCTGTTTTTTTTTTCCCGGATGAATCGATTTCTGTAATCTTGAAATGTGGTCAACCACACAACCAAGCATTCATTGTGTAATTCACAGTAAAAGCATCAAATGACTAGAAATGTCAGCATGTACAGTCAGAGGAGAACAATCTGTTTTCAGAAAGAAAGATAATATCTACTGTTACTGTATCAATAATGTCTAAGCGGTTGTTTGATTTCTGCTGAGACAGCTTAAAGAAAAACAAATATTCTTTATTGTTCCATGTAGTTACTGAAGGTTTCTGTTCCACTTTCATTTATGTATTCGTGGTTACTTTTTCTGTATATATTGGGCTTTGTTACTCTTTATTAGATCCTTATGTTATTGTGTTACTCACCATCTTACCTCCTGGGCCTTCAGTCCTGTTGCACCAGGCCTATGTGGCACTGTTTGGGATTTTGTTAGATTTTATAGACATCTTTTGTAAAGTTCATCTACACTGAAGTTTCTACTAACATTTGGCTTTAGGGTTAGGGTTGTGTGGGTCTGCCTCCTTAGTCCACATCTCACAGAGTGACAACTTATCTCTAGCTAACCCCTTGGTGTCCTAATAAGGTCAGTGAGGGGAGCCATGACATTTCCTTATATCTTTCTACTTTCCCCTGTGAAATTGAGTTCTGAAGCTCTGTACACTGCTCGTTTGTCCAGTGAACAAAGACAAAAAAATAACAAAGCTTAAAGTGAAAGTGCATTTCAGCTGGCACACTTCACTTTAAAATGTCTTCCAGTATGAAGCAATAAACCTAAATGATAAAACAGACTGTGACTTCTGAAATGACATAAGTTGAAGAAACACTATGAGGGTAACATTGATTTCATGGCTGTTTAATTTTAGGGGGCAAATAAATAAAAAAATGCCTCAAAACATGTCAAAAACAGACACAAAAAGAAGAAAGCCACAGTACAATTTTGTTAAACTAAAACAAAACCTGCAGGGTTGAAAATTAATTCAACAGAGCTTTGTCAATTTGTTCAGGTCCAAGAAGGGCTACATAAGGCGCCCTCAAAAAATGACTACCACTATATATGGATTAAAGTATGTTATAACTTTACAGCTAATAAAATGTTTACTAAATATACAGCAGTATAGTAGTTTCAGAGCCAATTTCCTAGTTTGTGACTGACTTTTTATTTTACTTTTTTTTTTAAACTCAAAAGCAATTATGTGTATCATGTAACAAAGTCATTTGGAGGTATGCAGGGTATAACGTGGCTTATTTTATGGAATCAGGATTCCGGTCTAATATTGTTTGACATATGCATTCTACGGTATTGACATAATATTCATTCTTCTCTCAGGTTTCTACATTTTGACTTTGATTGATTCATTTTGGATTTCCCTTTAACGGCATGAGGAAATATTGAAAGTGAGCATACCACTCCATGTTAAAAAGACGTGTTGAGTGGTTATTTTATTAGTCTGTGGCAGTTTGGTTATTGAGAATCAGTTCTTTGTATTTTGAAAAATTGAAGGTTTTGCAAACCTTATTTTTTTGCAGTTATAGATTATTACATTATTACAAGATGGATCAGCCTTTCTGTGAGGAGTATGCATGCCTTCTTTTTGCCATCTACACAATACGGTAACTGATGAATCCTGATCGGCTGTGTGAGCCCTGAGCTGTATTTTAAGGGCCAATCCCATGTGTACCCATCTTCCTGCCAAATGGCAGCTAAGGCACTAAGCCTAATGCCACAGAACTCTAAACAGGATAAAATGGGTAAAGAAAATGGATGGATAGTTTAATTCATAGCTTATGTCAACTGTCCTGATGGCTTCTTTGCTGAACTTTAAATCAACTTTAAA